TATTTTTCAAATAACTCTTATGGCATTACTATTCGTAAGTACGGATAGGTCATCGGTGACTTATGGCTGTACAACTCATGCTCATTTTAGGTTAGAATTCATCATGGACTGATATCAGTTAGAAGAACATTAGAAACTTGGGAGCACTGGTTAGCTATTTCATCCTAGTATAGGACTCTTTAGCAGTGCACACCCATGACTACGCCAGGGATCGAAATCAGGGCCTCCAGTTTCCGTGGACAACACGTTACCATTGAGCTAGCCACTGAGTTGGAATCCATTTGTTGTGAACTCATGTCTATTTTATTTATGATACTTGATGATACATGAAGAAGCTTGTTGGTTGACTATTTTTTAGTTGCTAATAGTTTTTTGTAATCTTTAAAATTCGAAATAATTAAAAATGATTTATACTTTTGAAGAATACTTGTGCAAACACTAGATAGCTGAATATTATTTCAATAACATTCGAAATATTGTTGCATCAGACTTCTACCTATTATTACAGAATATTTGTTTCATGTCGCTATCAGTTTTTAGACTCCTTCATTTGGTCAGCGTCATTCAAATGGCAAGAATGAAATTATTCACCTAAGCACTGTCTAATTGTACTGTGTAGTTACAGTCTTAGCTACTTTGAAATTGGTACAGTGTATCTTATTTACAAGCATATCGGATAAGTGAAACCTTGAAATAAGGATCATCACTGGAGTTTTTTTTGAATCAAAAAGTAGTGTGGAAATGGGTGACAGACCACTGTAGCTGTTTGTTGAATATCTAGCAACATAAAATGGTTTCATAGAATAATGTGTATTTGGTTTTTTTGCGCCTTACTAAATTTCAGAGGCTTATTGCATAAATGCATTCTATACTAAACTAGTGTAGATGTAAATAGAATATTTCACTGTAAAAATGAAATTATAAGTGTAACTTTCTGAGATAACCGTTGTTTGATGAACTCATATTCTTGATACTAAGTGATAATTGACCACCATTGTCTTCCCAGTGTAGGTCGTGTGTCGTAGTCTTACTGTGTCAGCAATGTAGAATTGAAGTGTAGAGTTTTAGGGAAGAGAGGAAAGTTAGTTGGTGAGGTTGTAAACCTTCATCGACTCGGGTGTCTGAAACATGTGTTGTGTATGCTTGGCAAGTCACTGCTTGTCTCGCCGCGCAATGTTTGGTACAAGTAAGTTAGGGCTTGCGGAGCTGTGGCTTATTGGTTTAGGCAATTAACTTTCAACCAGCTGACCGCAAGTTCGAATCCCGGTTGACCGAGGATCGGGCAGTTATGCGACAACAGAGACAAATGGTTGAAGACTCTAGGTGACATGACTCAGAATTGATCTCACTGGCGTAGATGTACCCACACACTATCCTCATCGCAATCGTCATACTGAATTCAGTATTTTCTTACTCCTTGTTATCTTAACACAACTTTCTATGAATTTAGCTGCTTTCGTGTCTTTTTCTTTATTTTTCATCTTAGTGGTTTGTCGTTTGATGTGAGTATATGAGATGTGACAACTTGGACCGTTGCTCAGTAATGCTTGGTCTTATGTTGATGTTGTCTACGACTCATCACAAAGTTATTTTCCAAAGTTTTCAATACTGAGGATCGATTTAATATCAATATCTGTACTGTGTATATTTAGATTCATTTTTTGTTGTCGATTAATTCGTTTTATTTTTTCAACTTTATATGACAAATTTGTTTAGAAAAATTTTTGCTACCTTATTCATACACGCATAGAGATTAGATTATGATGTTCCGTTCTTTATGTCAAACAGTTATTTATTTCATCTGAAGTCATAGATTACTATAAACATGCGTTTTTAGCTGTGAACTGCTTATACTTGTTTTACCCTGGGAAAATATGTTTATTTAGGAAATATCAATAAATAATGTTTAATTGTATAGAATAAGGGTATTGTTTATTGTCTTTCTCTATTTTTTAATCAATTTTCAGCATTATTACCATTTATCTCTCCTATATGTGTATATTATCTGTTCATTTGATAGGAGTCTACCGATGTTTTGCTTAGTTTTATCTTATTTTCGTTGAAATTTCCATCAGTGTTTCATTTTTTAACTTATCTTTTTCTTTTTTAATTTTCCTTGACTTCTCTAAGTATTTTTCAATTACACTGCCTGTTATTGTCTATATCTTCATCACTGTGCAGACGGTTTTTGTCAAAGATACAATTCAGCTGATAGTTGTGAACTCTTCTTTGCAGTTAGTAGAAGAAATTCACATCTTTCTGAATTCGTCAATATTTCTATAAAATTGTCGAAAATATTGATTTTCTTTCTTCATTGTTTTGACACAGTTCGTTGTCGCCATACACTTCAGGCTCTTCATGTTTCCATTCTCTAGTGTTAAAAAACAGGATTTTCAGTTTTGTTTTTCTTTTTTAAACTATTACTAGTTGATTTGTTTTAGTAATTCATTCAATGAAATTATTATTGCAAAAAAGAAGTGTTGATAAAAACATTTTTGGTCTACTTATGCCATTGTTGTTATATTTTTGTACGATTTTCATATTATGATTAGTGTGACAGTTGTGTGTTTGCTTACTGATCCTTCTTATGTGTTTTTTGGACATACTAACATTGTTATTGAAGGAAACGAGAAGACAGAGACGAAGGAAGAAATCTTTATTATTAACATCTGGTACAGTAGTCATCAAATATGGTACACCGTTCAGTTGGACAGTCATTTGCATAATGTGCTTCATTTCCTCTTCTGCTTCTATCGTGATTTGCCCTTAATACGCATTTCTCTGGCTAGAATCCTTACCCATTGCTGAGTAATTCCCTATAATTTCTACCGCCCTCTCAACATATACTGATTATATCCATTCTGATCAGCAACACCCGCTATATTATTGCTTTAGAATTGAATGTTAGGGTTCTTTTCATTTATTTTTCCACCTTATTGTTCGCTTTTTATCATATTGTTGGTTAGATTCATATCATTTTTTGTTGTGTAATGCAAGTAATGAACTGACAGTTTTTGTTCTGTACATGCCACCTACAGTATGCAACAATGGCCGAACAAAATCATCTCTTTATTGCATTCTTCCGCATACAGTTGTTACTATTTGATTCAACATTCATTTTCTCTACTGAAACTATTTTATTGACTGAATCTTTTTAGAAGTGAGTAAAGTGGCTGAGGGAGTTGTAAGTATAAGCAAATCGTGGCACTGAATATGCGAAGATATCCGAAATGTTCACTTCAATGTGTCGCACCAGTATCAGAGGTTGAAGATTGACTCCAGTCTACGAGGACGAGTTTTATAATGTGAACAAAAAATATGCTAGGAGAAAGACTAGATTATTTTGATAGATTCATGGGAACACCGATCTGTTCAACAAGGTCATCGTGACCACAAGTTAGCATAGATAATATATTGAAGAATTGTTCTAAAGGCCATTTTAGCATGTGCCAAGATAACCTATGAAGTCACTTCATTTTCATACAAGCTGCTACGCTTCGAGCTAAAACGTGCATAGTTGTTTTAGCGGTTGTTTAGGTCTCATGGATGGATAACGGCTTGCATAGGAATCCAGGATGTGCGTTTCGTCCCACTTGGGACTCATCAGCTGGGTTTACTTATCTCCTAGTGAGTGTTGTTCCCACCGGGACCTGAACTTGGGACCGATCTCTTCAAATATCAGAGCGTTATCCACTGGACCACCGCTAAAATTATATCTCAAAACATTGTCTATTAGTCTTCAATAAATTAAGATGTTAATTTGTATTTTGGCCATTTCCTATAACCTCTGCGTAAAAGATTAGTGGCTTCCTTCTGTGCTTTCTGCAAAAGTTATCTGGTTTCTTTCTTTTATCTCACATATCTTACGAAAGCAGGTGTGGGGTTGGTTTGCATTCAACACTCCTGACTGATGTATATCGAAAGTATTCAATACGACTGCAATCGCTAAATGCTGCTTTTTTTTCATGCTGTCTGCACTGAATCTTGAATATTGTTTTCGTGCATAATCCATGTTTTTACTTCAGCATTTACTATACACAGAGCATCTTTTCTTTCAGTTACTTAAAAACCTAAGGTGTCGCTTCTTATTAGTGATTAAACCGATCTTTCATTTTCATGTTTTTCTACCCTTTGAACAGTGACAGTTCACCATTTCCGTTCGCTTTCATCGTTGTAACATATCGACCTTAACGGAAATAAGCAATGTGTCACTGAAGTCTATCAAATACGAGTAATTGGTTTATTCATGAATTAGCAAAAAATGTGATGGGTGTAGATCTTAAGTTATTATTATTACAAAAAATGTGTTTAGCAAGTGTAAATCTGTTGTTTGATCACTGGAGAGTAAAACGTTTCATGTTGTTGACGATTACCAACAAACATGAAACTCAAATTCGTAGCTCCCTGTTAATTGCCTACAGCCAACTGCCAAGTATTAGTCTATAAAGCAAACTAACACCCCCCCCCCCGCCTGCTGGTGAACATTTGAACTTTTGTATCTGTCTTAGTTTCGTTTCATCTGTTAGTTCCAAGGGTGTTCTTCTTCTACTTGATAATATATATTTGTTTGATTTATTATGAAGATTGTAATTGGTTGTTGATTGCTCAAATTTGTTGTACAGTCACTGTATTTCAATCATCTGGATTTTTCAGCTTTGCCAGTAAATTTTTCCAACGAACCATCTTTTTATCAATGCGATAAATCAGAATAATGTTGTTCAACTGTTGGGTTTTTTAATTCAGAGTTTTGAATGTGTTATTGAGTCATTCATAAGCCTTACATCTGCACTACGTTTTTTAATCAGTTCTAATAGATCCCACTATAACTGTTGATACTTTTAAGCGATGAAATTTATAATCACTATCTAAAAAACTTAATAAACAAACGGTAAACGTCTATCTCTTGAGAGTTTCGAATCCAAGATTGTCAATTTTAATTTTATCGTACAAAATTCGTTCACGAGTGCTTTTTTTTTAAAAACATTTTATCTACATTACAGGTTCCGAATTGGTTGATTGGCTGTATACACATGTTGACGGTTTCGCAGATAGACGAGACGCTCGAAGATATGCGTCTAATCTCCTGCAGTATGGTTATATTCGTCATACAGTTAATAAGAGTACATTTTCTGAACAGTGTTATTACACCTTCGGAGACATAGCCACAGGTAAGCCATTTTTCATTACCTACTTCTTTCTCTTTTCAAGTATTGTAAGGAGTAGTTAGCTTTACAAATTGTATCTTTCGGATTATTTTCCAGCTTTATCTCATCTCAATTTGGATGAAGTAGATTCAGTTTCTGAAATAGGAACTCATTCTGCATCTCACACTGGAGCTCATCCTATGATGTCACAAATGTATCCTCACGTTCATCATGTTGTTCCTGATACCGTGGGTTCAGCTTCCGGTTTATCTTCAATGCAAAACCAGAATATTTCATCTAATACTAATGTAGGTTTAATGTCGTCTCCTATACCCGGTGAAGGAAATTCTCTTAACCAAACTGGTTCTCATTATCCCTATCCACCCGTATTTTATCCGATTACATCTTCAGTTCCTGCATCGTCATCAGGTCCTTGTAGTGTTGATGCAAATGGAAATACTTGTAACTTTGTTAATCCAACTTCATCTACTCTTCTTGGTCAAAGAAATAGAGTATCAAATAACTCGTAAGTTTCGATTAATCTTCCGCTAATTTTCACTTTTGAAGTTTTGTTCTTTCATTGGTTGATTGTGCATAACCGGTTTGTTAAATAAGGGTACTTGATGACTTCTAACTTAGTTCTGTTAACATTTTCATTCAAAGCTTTCAAGTGTTGTCGAAGTTACATTTTGGCATCTTTCATTTGAAGATGTTTACCAGATGAAGGGAATGTTTTATTTCAGTTTTCTGATTATATTGCATTTAGCTTATTATATGTTAGGTATTTCTAATATATACATCATATATATAGGCTTTTTTAAGTGACTTGTAATGATGCATTTGATTTTCTTTTCACCAAGAGTAGACAATTTTTTCACATTTCGTTTAGAATGTGTTCGTAAAACTCCAATGCTTTTCCATACTTTCTCAGGTGTATCTATTTATTATTTGTTACTGCTCAATTTTTAAACTTTGTAGTTCTATTTCATCTGCTATTTTTTTAGTCAAATCGGTGTGGATTCAAATCTGTATCCAGTAAATAACACAAATATGGTTTCACATACGCGTCCCGTAGTTCCTAACCAGCCACACATTGCCTCTGTCAATAGCACGTCAAATCAGAGGATTCAGCAACAGAAAGTAAACTCCTCTTCATCTAGCTCATCCCGTTCTTCTGCATCATCAACGTCTTCCTCTTCCACTGGTTATTCTGGTAATAGGCGCCCACCTGCATTATGTAATACCACTACTACTACTAATACTACTGCACAGATACCTAATACCAATGTTCCTCAAAGTATGAATGCACCAATAGATACCTCAGCTTCTAAAGGCCTTTCTTCTCTAAATAAGAGTATTCAACGACGTGCTGACCCACCAAGTGTACAAAGTCTCTCTGGTTAGTTTACCTTGAAAGTCATAGAACCTTGAGATTTTTCACGCATTTCTGCATGACTTTATTTGTCTTCTGTATTTATACAGTATATCTGCACCAACTTCAATTTTTTATACGAAAATGAATCAGTCCAGAGTTTTAATTTTCAGATGTAGTTGTTCTTGGGTTCCTTTTTCAGTTGTTTCACATTGTCAGTGGCAAAAACTTCATTTTCTTGTCGAGATTACGTTGGTTCTAATCTTAGATTTAAGGCTGAATTGTTTATCATCAACTCAGTAAACAGCTTAGTGAGTATTTAATAGTGTAAGGTTGCATGCAGTAATGGATTGTCTAACTCGTTTTCAGTATTTAGCGGTGTCATTATCAGTTGTACTGGTAACATACATTATGCTTTATGTATATTTCAAGCAATGTTTCTCCTTGTTCGATAGTCTCAATATTATGTTACATTGCGACAAGGCATGAGCTTTGGTTCACTGGACTGTATGCACCACAACAGAATCGCGATGTGATTATCTGGTTTATAAACTTGACTTTTGAGTACTTAGTTGGTTTGTTCAAATCATTTATAGACTTGACTAATGATTCCTTCAGTTAGTAGTATTCAGTGTCCTTGTAGCGCATTCGGTTTATTCACTCACCTTTCTTCAACAAGTGAATCACAGAATCAAACCACTCTATGTCTATGTCGGTATGAATACCCTTTTTCCTGTAATTAGCATCCATCTAATAGGCGTCGCTCGTTGCTTAATTAAATTAAAAGTTACTGAGTTGCATGTGTTCAACTTCTGCTTATTTTTCTCCCTGTTAGCTTAGTATTTCAGTTATCGGTTTGTGTCATTTCATAGCACTTTGTCAGTTTGGGAGTTCGCTTAATTATCGTTTCTTCTGTATCAGTTTGATATGTTTTATTGTTTTTTATGTTAGTGATGATCATCTGGTTCTTTGTTCATCAGTTTATCGAGTTAAGTAACAATTAATGGATACACATAAGTGTACCGCTTCTGTAGTCTTAATTATTGATAATGGGCAGAATGACAAAACAGGCATGATGAAGTAGTTTTCTTAGGTACAAGTTGCATCCATGGTATTGCGTCATACTTTTAATAGCAGATTACTCGTCAACAGGGGCGCTGATTTATAACGCCTGACGATAGGACTGAAATACTCTCAGGTTTTATGACCAGAAAGTTGACTTTAAAAGTTCTAGATATAGTTCTAGTAGACCACGTTTTGTTTTAGCGTTTATCTGCTCGTATCATCCTACTGATTTCTGTTGAGAAACTATTGGGCGTATCACCAAAATGGGAATTTCTCTTCCCATCCATCCACCCATCCAAATCAACATAAGACCAGGCATCACTGCGTAACAGTCCGAGTTGCCACAGCTTATATCAGTATATAAAGTAAAAAGGCAGTGAAGTGGAAGATGAATAAAAGAAAATTTGGCCAAAATAAATAAATATAAAGTACTAAAAGAGAGAAAGGAAGGACGAGAAAATGGTGAGATTTGGTATAGCGTTCAGATAAGGATAATCTGCGTCACTAATATTGGTTCTGAGCCATATCACATAGAATCAGTCTCCAACCACCGGTTTCTCTTGTCCCACGGACCCCAACCGACTAGTCTGCATCGCCCTACATGGCTCAAGCCAACAGTCGAAGAATGCATACATAGAGTGCTGATAGAGTTGAGGGTGGTTGACACTTCCCCACTGCCCACACCATGGAAAGTACCTGGAAGAGATTTGTGTGACTGCAGAGCCCGTCGGACATCTACTTGAGGCCTGTCACACGCAGCCTTTTGTGTATGGTTGTTTTGGGGCCGGATGGTCGAAAAAGAAACGACAAACAAACCAACACCGTCAGCCTGACGGACCGTGGGGTATGGTGCAGTGTTTTTTTGGGGGCCGACCTTTTTTAACCGCCCTTCCACTGAGAAGGCAGCATCAGCATGGCACTGCTGGTCTTCCAATGGGAACACTTTGCTGCTGTCACACCCCACCCAGCTAGCAGCAGTACGACTTCACCCTCAGACCCCCATTTTACACCACAACGGTAACTTCTTTTCGTTTTACCACTATCCAACAGACCTTTCTGGTATGGTAGGGCCTCGAAAGTATAAGTGTTCCACCAGCATAGCTCGTTGGATTATTGTGATATGCAAGCCCGACCACTACGTCAAGGTAGCAGCTATCAGTCGGGTGCATTCCTCATATTGACTATTCATTGTTTTATACTCGAAATTTATATCTAGTTGTTGAATTCCAAGGGACAGATCACATTTTGAAATAAAATGAAATTAATTCTTTAGTACTTCATTGATTCCACTGGTTTTTTAGTTTATATTCAATTGTTGATAAAAGCCGTCTCCATTGCCCATTTGTCTAGAATCTTTCATATTTTTCTTGTTTAATCTAAGATAAAGTCAATGATAATTTATATTAAAAACATCCATCTAGCTACTTATGCGTAACTTTTTCTTGTTTCGAATAAAATAACTTTCTCTCTTGGCTGCTGAATAACTGGGATGGTATGTGTGCATTTTTTTATTTTATTCCACTTTGATATGCTTTTTGTATTTTGGTCTGTTGGATGCATTGGTATGCGCTTTCATGTTTTCATTCTCAATATTAATATTATGAATAATAATAATAATAATAATAATAATAATAATAATAATATTGTTATTATCACCGTTACTGTTCCTCTTACTATTTTATACACGTATACGTGGTTTGACTGTTGTACCATATTCAATCCTCTTTTTCATTGTTTGTCTCATCCTTCTGAATAATTCTTTTTGCTTGCTTTAAATTAATTATTTAATTTCTCATTTTATTTCTTTGTTTTGTTATCATTATCATCGTGATCGTGTTAACTGTTTCACACTCATCATTATACACTGAACTGTTAAAATTTGCATTCACTGCCTTTTAACTGAAATGTGTATTTGAATAATAAAAAAAATAATACTAATAAATTATTCATTGGTTTCTCACTATTCAGTCTCATCTCATCCTTGCTTCTGTGTGCCATTCATCCGAAAATCGCTTAACTCTTCGCATGCTAATAATTCGTGTAGAAAATTAGATGCACAACAACATGTAGGAGAGTTACAAGCTAAAGATACTATACATGATCATAGATCTAATCAACACGAGACAGAATCGTCTAATATTAGTCATTTGAAAATGAAAGAGAATAATTGTAGTGGAATGTATAATTCTATATTACCAGTTATTATTTCAACTGCTGGTTTTTATCAGCAGTCTTCTGATGACCCAAGTGATTTTAGTTCAAATCAAATGATGAAAAACGTTAATACCATCCAAGATAATAGTAATGAAATCGATAATAGTAATAATACTCAATTACATTTAGTGAATGAACTTGATAATATGGATAATGTCAATAGTGAGCATTTATCATCGATGGAGGACAAAATGCCAGAATCAGGTTTGATATAGTTTTTTTTCCCTCGTACAATATATACACATTTCTGTTGACAACTACTTGTTCTCCTTATGTTATATGATTCAGATTGCTTGTAAATACCAAGGAATGCAGCGTTTATATCTTATAGGTGAACTCTGAGTAATCAAAACACCCAGTGAATTAATTGTACATGGATTATACATAACCTTTTACAATCATAGATCTATGCACAATAATTCAAGTTATTTCACATCAATATTGTTTAAAACAGTAATGCATTGCAATAGTCATTACATATTGCACCACCTTACCAACCAATGATATATGCTCGGAAGATTGTTCTCTTGCTTTGTTTTGAAAAGCTTATCTCCCTTCATTTCATGTACAATATGTGTTATTTATTAGATCGTGTTATATGTAGATAATTTGTTTGTTTCTTTCATATTTATTTGCAAACCAAATAATATTGTTTTTTTTAAATATTATTTTTATATTTTCGTATGCTATGTACTGAATAGGTACAAGCAGTACAAGTTCTGCAAGTCGTCAGAATGGAACTGGTGCTAGTGCAGCTGGAAGTGGTAGTGGTAGTGCAATTACTACACATGTGCTTAACAAACCAAACAATACTAATTTACCTAATAAAGCAGAATGTTCAGATAGTGTTTTACGTACACATGCTGTGGATTTTTCTAATTCTATTCATCCGACTACAAGTCAAAATTCTGGTTTAATGATGAAAGAAGGTAATAAAAAACCGGACATCAATCAGTGCTCTGGAATACTATCTAGTCATCCTCTGACAGCTGGTGGTAACAGTGCCACTGGTGGAGTTCATAATATTCGAAGATAAGAGTTCAAATAATGTCCATTTATATTCTGAAAATAAGTCAATCTCTGAAAAGGTAAGTTATTACATTCATGATATTGTCCGGTTTTTGCTTAATAAATGGAATAATGCAATTTTTTTCCCATTTATCCTCAACTCGTTTACCTCCTGCAATCCTTAACCTTGGGTGGTAAACCTTCTTATAGTTCATTGGAATATAAAGTCTACTGTTATTCTGATAACAGTTTCTTATTTCGACATCTCTGTAAAGAAAGTCTTCATTCTAAGTAATTTGGGTTCTATACTAACTAGTGATAAATCTGCAAATCTCAAGATTTTACGTTATATTGTCCATACTTTGCCTATTTTTATCACTATCATTAGGTGAAAGTAACCATTTATCTTTCAAGATAGGTGTGAATTTGTCTTACATTGATTACCTAAGCTAATAGTGAAACTATTCTGCTCAAATAGTAACTTCTAGGTGTTATTATTCGTGGTTAAGTGTTCGATACAAGTAGTACCGTAGACTGGGATGGATAGACAATATCAAATTGCGGAAACCTGTGTGTCGAAATTGCAACGTAGCCACGTAAGAAGGTAGTCAACTTAAGTGCATTTATTACCTCTCTCAACCAACGATGCATAGGGCAAAAACTCACACGAGTGTATACAATTTTCGGTGATGTCTTTTCAGATCATCATCAATTCAGCGTGCTAGTTTTGGGAGCCGAATTTGGATTTCTGCGAAATTTCTAAACAGCATAATTAAAGACTTACGCTCTTTTTGGGTTGCGTATGCAAGAATTGGTTGTATATCCCAACGCTGAACAGTCCTATTTGAAACCAAGAGCCATTTGCCTCATGATGAGTGCTCCTCGACCGACAGTTGCTACCTTGACGTGGTGATTGGGCTTGTGTCTCAATGACTAAAGAAGCTACACTGACTGGAACGTTTATTCCCTCGAGGTCTTACCTTGCCGGAAAGGTCTGTTGAATAGTGAGTAAACAAAAAGCAGTTATCGCTATTGTGTAAATTGCTGCGCTATGATGGGGTTCTGAGGAGCGAATCCGTGCTGCTGGTTTGGCGGGATTGTGAAAACAGTGTTTCGCTTTGATAACCAGTAGTATCATGCTAGTTCTACTTCCTAGTGAGAGTTGGGATAGGTCAGCCCCCAAAACAGCACACTCCTCCCCGCCCCACGGTCTTCCAGTGCCAGTGGTATGGGTTTTCCTCGTCCAGCGTTATAGAAATCAAATCTAATACCAACAATCGTCTAAAGGCTGAGTGACAAACCTTAAAAGGATATCCGGTGGACTTTACGGACACACAAATCTTTTTCTCTTTCTATTAGCTTAAGAGGAAACAGTCGTCCACAGTGTGGGTAGCTGGGACGTGTCAGTCGCTCACATGCTTCCTGTCGTATTCAGGACCTAATCAAACATATCCTATACTCCTCAACTCTATCTGCTCCTTCGCTCCACCTCCTGACAACAATGTAGGGCTTTTTAAAACTTCCCCAACGCCTCAATATGTGGCCATTGCCAACAATCAAAGCCTTCGAAACGCTTCGAAGGATAGTTCAACTGGCCCACGGCAACGCTTCAGTTGCCCGGCATCCTGTTCGACATTTATCTAGAGCTTGAGAACAACAAACTCAAGTAAACCGGGCCGTTTGCAGACCTGAACAAGGGTGCATCGATGAGATTTTCACCCCTCTACAGGTTATGAAAGACAGGTATATTTACCGGCGGCCGTCACTCGCCATATTTCCTGACCCAATGGCGACGATCGATTCTTCTGACCGTTAGGTGTCGCTGACACCTGTCATACGTAATATGATGCTCCAGGACTAATCTGTGCAACTACTCTCAGTTTGAGGATAGGGTGTGAAGTCGTTGAGTGTGTTGTCCATTTCGCTTACTTGGGGAGTTGTATCAGCTCGAACTGGCTCGTTGCTGACGAAATCTTACATGGAATACAGAAGGCCTGTTTGGCATTCGCCAACTTGGCGAGATATCCGACTTCCTATCAAAGGACGAGCATACTGCGCTGTAGTTTTTTTGTCCTGTTGTACGGCTGTGAGAAATGGTCGTTGAAAATAGAAGACATGAAACGGTTACAGAGTTTGACCGCAGATATCTTCGTAGTTGCTCGCATATGGTAGGATCACCATATTAGCCATGTAGAGTTCAGGCGAAGAATTGTATGCAAGTAAGGCAAGTCATTGAATGAGGTTGTGAACCTTCAATGACTGAGGATGCTTATACAGGCATTGCACATGCCGAAGCATCACCTATCTCTGTATGATATGCTAGGCGGAGTTGGACCAGTTTGGAAAATGGCTGATGCTGCCTGGTCCGAGAGAGGTAATATGGGTGCATGAATTCTCTGACTGTTAGTCTGGGCCGATTGGGGAGGTGTACAATGTCGTATGGAGGTCCTCAAGATGAGAGAAATCAATCGTTGGTGACCGTTGGTGAAATGACTGCAAATCAGCCACAATGGTGCTGATGTATCTACTCCATGGCATCTTATAAAACTTGAGTGTTTTGGCTAATCTGAATTTTTAAATTTTCTGGCCCCATACTTTGAAATCAGTCTGTTTCTATCCACTTGTTGTTTGTGTACTACCGCGAAATATGGTAAGTTAAACCAATGCACTGCTGTGTGAGGTTCCATGCTAATCTTGTTTGTCTGTCTGTTTGATGAGTACGATGTTCCTGATATATTTCATCATTGTGTGGAATAACTTTTACCCATTAATATTCAGTGTCTCTACACATTTATTATGTTGAATATGTGTCTATGTATCTCACTAAAACTGTTTTCACTATATTTTATTTAACTTGCAGATGAAAAACATTTATAATCAGATCCATGCATCTGTTACATTTAAATGTTTCCTTTACATTTATCATATGTAACGATAATTTCCGAAACTTTCACCCGGTCTTTCTAATAAGAAATGTTTGTTTTTACTTCTGTCGTTTTTTCCCCATTTATTTATTCTTCTCCTTTAAATAACCTTTCTGAGCGATCTATATAGTTTGTGTGTGTGTGTGTGTGTGTGTGTGTGTGTGTGTGTGTGTGTGTGTGTGTGTGTGTGTGTGCAAATTAAGTTGTGTATACAGACGTATTTTCATCTGTTTTCATTCTCGTATAGATATTATACATACTTTTATTATGCCTTATGATGGCTTATACTTAATATAGTTAACTGCATATTTTACTCTTATCCACATACTTTTCTCTCTTTTTCCTACTATATTCTCTCTTCACATTCATGTTGCTTTTATTATACGATCTGTGTTCTTTTCGACTTTTTTTCCCTCATAATATATAGACAGACTGTTAACATACTTTGTTGTCAATTGTGTTTACTGTCTTTTGTGATGAACGCTGACAACATTTGTTGACTAAATTGTGCTTAAGAATATCATTTATCAAATTTTGTTTGTCATCTTGTATTTGTTTACAATGGGAGCACTTCTGTTCTGGTAAATATATTCAGTGTGAAAATGACTCTATGAATGACATATTGAAAACTTCCTCTTTGCTTTCTATGTGATAATAAACATTGATTGGTTTTTCTTGTTGTAGCGCCCTATATTTCATTCATTTAATTACTTGTTCGTTCGATTCATTTATCTTTTTTTTTTTTATTATTTCAGCTAATTTCTTTGTTGTTTTTGTTGAAAAAAAATTTTTTTTTGAATCAAGAGTATCGATACCTTTCTTCACTATCTTCTTTAACCACTTTTTGATTACATGATAACCATGAATACGATTTATTTTCCTGTTTGAATTTTTTCCCCTTAGTTTGTCATCAAAGCTGAATATAATTTCATTGCTTGATTCGTTGATTCATACATCCGTTTCAATTCATTAACCTTTTTCGAATTATGCATGCATAAAAGATTAGTAGTTTTACCATCATATTGTGTTCTTCATCGCAGACCAATTTTACATTATACATACATGCATGCCTATAGAAGATGATAATATGTCAATTTTATTTTCGCTTTTTTATCAACTCAGTTCTTACTGCTAGTTTATTTTGTTTGTTTTATCTTTGTCTATGCGATCAGCTGCTGACATTGTTGCAAAGTTGTTTCATTCTGGAAAACTCAGTTCTTTTCTTTAACTCAGTGAAATATATTCTTAAAACAAGAATGGTATTATTTTCTTTATCGTTAGATTGAAATGATAATCTTTGTTGTGTTTTTTGTGCATACTTAGAGTTAATGACAAAAGTAAACTTGTTTGTCATATTTTTCATTTGAAAACATTAGTTAGAAGGCTGTCAGTGAACATAGAAAGCATCCACTTGTTCGAGCCTCAGTGTTCTAGTGGATAATGTTTAGGCGAATGAAGCGATGTCTGTGTGGTTTCAGTCTTATTGGGAAAACCACTCACTGGGATTTAGTTTCATCCAGCTGACAAGTGGGTCGCAAACAGAACGAAACGCATGTTCTGGATTCCACGATTAGTCACCAGTCAGTAAATTTCAACATAATTGTTAATCAACCAATATCGAGGCATCCGCATAGGAGCCCGTATGGCGACAGCAGTCAATCGATTCGATTTTGTATAACAGTAGTAAATAACGATTACCAATCAGTAGCATGCACTCGTTCATTTCTTTGGTCCATAGTATTATCATGCTAGTAATCTGTTCGGCTCATGGATGTTGTGTGGCATTCTAAATAGTTACTATGATAACTTTAATTTCAAAGTAAACTACTCTAAGATTATTCGTCAAATGTTTTGATTTCTATTAAGGTTTAATTTCTCTACTGAAGTACAGTACTTTTTGTAAATGAATGGAGACGAAAGAAGACATCAAATCCTGTAAAACAATGCAGATTTATCACTTCAGCATGCGAGAGATTTATTTCACGGGTGTCTTTTGTGAAAAATTCTTAAGGCCTGCTACTTGTATCACCCACTAAAGTTACAAGGTTACAATAAGAGAATAAAACACTATTTAGCAGTCTGTAATCTTCATGTGGAGCAAATTGATTAGGCATAAGCAATTATTCACTTGCCTTTTGGAGATACAGATAACTAGATAAGACTTTACACCAACAGAAATGATTAGTTTGTCAACAACGTTTACTGAGACAGCATCACTATTGTTCTTTAAAACTGTTAGATGACTGGTCCTAAATAGCGTTTACTCCCGCTTTTTTCAAAATAAGTGCAGCTGGTTTACGCGAGATAATATGTCTATGTACATGTAGATAGACGGCAAAATCGAGATAGATTCTGTCACGGAAGTATATCAGTTCCCAGCAGCATGTGAAGAGGGAAGTAAAAGAAGAAGAAGAAGAAGACTGACACTGAAGTTGTAACAGGTATGTTCAAGAAGAGGATTAAGAGATGCAGGTTAATGAAAATACCCAATAATTCGACAGTGACAATGAATGCTTACATCGGCATCACTGATTAATTTCCAGTTATATCAAAGTTTTGCAGCCATTGATGTCTATCGTTGCGACCACCCTAACCGGTCAACATATATTGACTCATTCTAACTGTCCTGGTCTTGGTTACCAATTTTTCAACGAAATACATGAGATACATTAAAAGTGAAGTGCAATAATAAAACGATGGTAAGTTTCGAAGATTGAGAAGAACGATAGGATATAAATGTGTCCTATGCACAGTTAATTTTCAGGTTAATAACCTCGAAAGTCATTCATAAGACTTAATTGTTTGCTGACACTATCCAGTCTACTGGTTAAAGGTTTAATGATTTCTTGTCTTCTATACAGGCATCTTTAAGCCCTATTCACTTGATTACATGCATAAAACAGAAGCTCAAACGGCTGGTTAAACTCTTGTGGTTCCAAATGTCATAGAATAACACACAAGCCACCTACAACAAAGAAGAAGTCTTTCTTTCTGAAGAAATCATTCTCGTCGGTATACATTCGTGAATATATAGTAGAAGGGATAGAACATTCCAGAGTAATTTCCGGTTAACGGTCAATACAAATTGTGTGACAAAGGGAAGTTAAGTAATGTCTTTAGGTGTTTAAAATGAGAAAATAATAGTAGTTTTGTGAGATGGGAATTGTCTTGAGGAATCGACACTACGATGACGATGGCGAAGAGAGAGATTGTACAAACATTTTTTGAATCCACAATGATGATTTGGACTTTTAAATCGGTAATGCTTCAACTATGCCTAGATATCTTAGCCTCATTCCTTTCAAGTGGATTGATTGCACTTTGCTTTTGTGGAGCCGAGTGTATCGACTGTGTCATGCGCCAGCTTGTGCAACGCAATCACTACCCAACTTGATTGACAAGGGGAGAGCAGAAATGTATTTTCAGCTTTGTAGCAGAACACTTAGTAAACTCAAGATATTTGGCTCCTTTCATAAATCCTTCAAAACATTGCACAAAACCCCTCGAAAGGAATGAGGCTAAGATATCTAGGCATAGTTGAAGCATTACCGATTTAAAAGTCCAAATCATCATTGTAGATTCAAAAAATGTTTGTACAATCTCTCTCTTCGCCATCGTCATCGTAGTGTCGATTCCTCAAGACAATTCCCATCTCACAAAACTACTATTATTTTCTCATTTTAAACACCTAAAGACATTACTTAACTTCCCTTTGTCACACAATTTGTATTGACCGTTAACCGGAAATTACTCTGGAATGTTCTATCCCTTCTACTATATATTCACGAATGTATACCGACGAGAATGATTTCTTCAGAAAGAAAGATTTCTTCGCTTCAACTATCTTTACTGTTCTCTTATTTTTTTTTCAATCTACTAGATTTTATTCTAGACAATTGACCTTAGCATAAGAGTGATTGATTGGCACATTGTTGATATAATACTGAGTACGCTACCAAGATGGTGATCAAAATCACCGGAATATTCTTATATTCGTATCACAAATGATTTTTTTTCTGTCCGACGTACAAACAGTTCTTGTGTGAAAGAATCGACCAGATGTAGTTCATGAATAACTCAAGAAAATCCAAAATAGGCACAAAAGCGTAACATTTGTCAAACAAATGCATGGTGTAAATGATGTTATTGGTTTGCAAGAATTATTAAGCTGCTTACAGATTCAGTGATATAAGTTATTCCTTGCAACGATTTAATTCTACACACTAAATTTTCCTTGTACCTGATTGTATTCGCAATTGTCCTTGCATTACTGTGTAGCAATACGTTAATTCAAGAATAATAGGATATTTGTTGTACGAAAACTGCTCAAGAAAGATAGGAATTACAAACATTTTAATTCAAATTTCCTGTCGAATATGGAATGCATTAATCCACTACTATCCCATCAAAGCTTAAAGATGTAAACATCTTTTCTTTGGGGTCCAGAGTGATGGGCTACTTTCTATTACACTGTTGTTGATGAACTTCATTCTGCCTACCTTATCTTTTTAACATACATACTTCAAGTTTTCCGATCTCTTACGTCACCATCAATAATATTTACCTTATAACTTCTGAATTCGTTTGTTATTCATTTTTATGTTAAAACCTCCTTGTATAATAGATTTCCCACTCCAAGTATCTTTTGGTTAAGAGATATATAAGAGATTTTTTATATGAACAACTGATAAAGTAATTAGTTAACCTGGAAATTAAGAAGTTTAGTAACTGAATACTTGTTAGGAAAGTAATTCACCTCAACCTGGTACAGGCTTATTCGCCTAGCCAGACTTACTCTGTCGCCCAGGCTGAAGTATGTGGGACGGAGTTTGAACTCGGAACCCGTTACTTAGAAGTTGAACGCTCAGGCTAATAAACAAAATTTCCACTTGAGCACCTGTTCCATTATATTTTTAATGAAACAGCGATTAAATTGGCACGAAAGAGAATAATTTTAAAATATATCATTTGAATATCAATAACTTCTTACTTATAATAGACAATACTGCCTTCATCCTTAGGTGATCCATCGAGAACATATGGATTCTACATATATGGCTACATCTTTTTATCTGGTCTTTTTATTTGCGTTTCTTTGTTACACCAAAACTTATCAGATATGTTCTGTTTAGCTTTATTTACACTAGTAGCCACAATTACCTTGAATAAATTTCTGGCCTAAGAAATTGATCAGTGTTAGGCATCCTGGATATAATGGTAATTCAGAAGATCGGCAAAATGTGAAACTTAATCTAAGCTATTTCAAAGTAGAAATTGAGTTTGTCGTTCATATAAAAGAAAATGATGTTCCTCGTACTATCCCGTCGTTGATTGGAGCGAATTTTCCGTTCACTTTTGGCATATGGGCTCCTGCGGTGATACCTTGATATTTCCTGCCGTTTCAATTTGCATATTAATGATGAAGCTGCAGGTATATCCAGTTGACGAATCTCAAACAGGACGAAATATGCGTCCTAGATTCCACTACTATCCACCGTCCATCATGAAAATGTTTATGTTTTAAAAAACTATGGTATTGAAAGCATCATTTTCTATACTTTCTATCACCTATGTTTAAAAGTACACATTGGGATACTTTATCATCATTACTTACAGGTTTGACTTAGCAAGAACTTTTCATTTAATTAAAAATTATTTTCATCATGAACTGATGTCTTCGTCTTCAGAGCAAGGGCAAATTGGATGGCATTAAGTAATTGCCATCATTCCTCTTTGACAGCTATAATTTCTCCTGATTAACTGGGTATTTTTGACCTTCCAGGTAAATAAGTTGCCATCCAACATCTAATACTTTTTAACTATGTTATCTAACGATACCAAACCAACGCCACAACCAACAACAACAAGCTTCAATAACCATCAACGGGAGAAACTTAAAGGAGGTTGCCTCTTTCAACTATCTAGGCAGCATCGTTTCAACTACAGGTGACACAGACGACGACGTCAAAGCCAGGATCGGAAAGACAGCAAGACAGACTCTCATTAACCTGAAACCAGTGTGGAGATCTCTTGCACTGCACTCAGCATAAAGCGTAAACAACATCCAGATTTTCAACACTAATTCAGTCAAGTCAAGTATGTCAGTGATTCTATGTGATGGTTGAGAGACTTGGCGCGTTACGAGAAGCATTTGCAACGAACTACAAACATTCATCAACCACTCCCCAAGCTGCCTACGTTCGGTACTCAAGCTCAGATGGATTGTCAGAATAATAAGAATAAGCAA